CAAAACCCCAAAACCCCAAAACCCCAAAACCCCAAAACCCCAAGCGCACAAAATCTATTGAAAGTGGCTAAAATTTAGCTTAAGGACCTATAATCTTCACTAAGTCTATTTCTTAATCGTAATGGAGTGAATCTTTGACCTCTTCTTCCTTGCAGAGCCCTCATTATTCTTGCGAAGAGGAATACTCTTGGTGTCGCTCACAGACTGTTTCTGGGATGGGCTCGAATTTGAACTATAGCGTTAGGTTTAGTAGTGCATGATGTGAAGCTTACCTCTCTTCTTCATCCTCTAGCTCATCAATGTTGAAAATGTTGTTGATCTGAGTCAGAGTCATACTGTATTTAAGCCCTGGCCGATTATGATGAGTATGGGGTAAATGCCTAGGCATGGGTATGGTCTCTTTCAAAGGAGTAGGATCTTCTTCTTTAATAGTACTATCTCTCCTTAGCTTTGGACGGTTTCGCTTCCCGAGTTTCACAGCTTTGGAGGACTTCGTCCTCCTCTTTGGCCTATTTTTTATTAGCTTTCACCAGAAGTTTCCGAATTTTTCCTAATTTGGAAAGCTCCTCTTTCAGTGCGCTTTTTGGAGACATCTCTTTGATTCGAGATAGTTTTGATTTCTTCCTTGTCTTAACAAAGGAAGGTCTGGAGGTCATCAAAATATAGTTACCTGGAAGAGCCTATTTTCTTAGAACTCGGCTCTGGTACAGGAGCAAGGTTATTCATCTGGTGTATTTTAACTCGATCTGCCATCGTTAATGATTTCTTCGGCTTGCTGGTTTCAGCGATTTCTTCATTTGTCACACTAAATAATTACCACAGATTCTTGTTACTTTGAACGAGGAATGCTATTTCTGAGAAATATCACTTTTGCTTTGTGAAGGTGTATTGTTCATAGTATTCCCAATAATAACTATAGGGTTAGTAGAAGTTATTACTTTTATTAGGAATGTTGTTAGTCGACCCATCATTCGTGAAGTCATCTATTGAAGAAACACTAGTAGTTAGTAATAATCATTACCTTGAAGTGGACAGAGAATCATCTTTAATCTCTATATTGCTGACACAATTTGGCCTACCATCATCATATTTCTGTTCCTCGACTCTCATCTTCTGCTTTGGTGGGGTTTTTCCTTGTAGGACTGACCTGTTCTTTTCCATCTATAAAAGGGATTGAACTAGAGCGATTAAATACCTTCATCTTATTCTGTTTACTTTTTATAGCCTTCTTGATTGAATTGACTCTTATCCTAGATTTAGTGCTTGACATGTTATAGAAAGTGTTATTTGAAGTAGAACTGAATTTCTTTCTGGAAATTTTCTTTCTTCTAGGGTTAGGTATATTCTTGACAACCTAGACTGTAAAAAGCATGCTTACTCCTTTAAGAGGTGTTAATTTGACGTTCTTTATTCTCTCTTGCATTCCTACAAGCTTCCGCATCTTCTGAAGATCCTTTGCTTTAGAAAGATCAAATGTAATTAGTTTAGGATTCTTTGAATTCTTGTGGAGAACCTGGCCTGATTTCCTAAAGTTATGTGAAATAAAAAGTACTTGATCTTCGGCCTCCGTGGGTTTTGAGCAGGGTTGCTTGAAAAAATTCTGCTTCTCTTGCCTCTAGGAGGTTGAGGAGAGCGTAAGGAATCAATAGAGGTCATCCTTGATGCAGCTATATTTGGAGAAAGCAACCTCCTCTTTCTAGCTGCCGATCGCCCTCTCTGGATGTCTTTGTGTGCTTTCAGATCAGGAAGTTTGCCTGAAGCATCAGTTGCGAACATATTTGGAGGAACAAGGTTGCTATTTTCTTATATCCTTCTCTTATTATTTAATCAAGCTTTTGCGGTCATTCAGCTTGGAGTTATTTCCTTTCGATGCACTTTCCTTATTTTTACTTATGCTAGTATTTGGCTGGACATTAAGAAAAATGCTATATGGAGTATTTCCACTAGTAATAGAAGGATTTTTGCTATGTCTTGATTTCTTAGGCCGGTCGATTGTCTTAAAATCATCCATGTGGCTTTCCCAATTTTTGATATCTCTCGGGTTTGGGGTTTTAATTGAGATAAAACTTCCATCGTTGGATTGAGGTAATCCTAGAAATAACATTAAATCTTACCTGTCTGAGCATCCATTCCATCTTCATATTGGTGGAAGTTGATCTTGGTTGGAGAATTAATGCTCTTCTTCTTATTCCTTAATGACTTTAAGTTAATGTTGTCTCTTGAAGACCCAAAAGCAGAGTTATTTGAGAAAACTGTATAATTAGAATTTTGCTTCTCAAATTTAATTTTACTCTTCCTAATTTGCTTTTGGATTGAGCTTCGATTACCTACGGGAGAGTTAGGCCCAGTCCGAGCAACTAGCTTTTTGAGTACCCTATTTTGATGCTTCTTCATTGTATTGCTGTTTTAAAGTTAGCTCCAAAATAATTTATAATCTACAATACCAATTTTTTGTAATTAAGTGGGGTTTTGGGGTTTTGGGGTTTTGGGGTTTTGGGG